GAGAAGATCAGAGCCAGGAAAGAGTCAGCATGGTGCCAGGAGAGGAGCACAACAGGACAAAAATCAGTGGCAGCAAGTCATTTGGGGAACAAAGACCTTGGTTTGGGGTTGCTGCCTCACTGTGTTCTTAGGTCAGTTTTGTTCATGCGCTTTTAAACATGTCTCCTGAGCTTAGGGGGAAAGGACAAAGTTAACTCCTGCCCACGTCCACAGGTGCCCATCCTTACCTACGGCACAGCATGCACCTGGGGACAGGCAGCCACGGGGCTGGAGTGCCACCTCCCGGCAAGCAGCAGGCAGCGCTGCCTCATCTCCTTGGAGCTGGGCAAGGAGAACACACCAGGAACACACAGTCTCCTGGTGCTCCAGAGCCCCCACACCATCCCCATTGCTGCTTCTCCTTCCCAGATCCTCACCCTAGGTCATGGACCACTTGGAAGAGGCAAGAGAAATGACAGAGCATAATCCCATGCGGGGACGAACAGCATGGCTTTTAGCAGGTTGGCTCTGGAGCAATCAGAGGGGACAAGGAGTACAGCTGCTCCTAAGATCAGACAGATCCCCAGATCTTCTCAGCTATCTGCCCTGGGTCAAGATCTGAGCACCCTCCAAAACCAAGCACAACAGTCACCTGTTGATCAACTCAAAACCACCCCAGAGGTCCAGCAGGACATTAATGAAGGAAAAAGCCTGACTGTTTTTTAAATGCTTGATCCACCTCCTGGCACCAGCCACCTACACCCTGGCCACTCTCAGCGAGATGGTACCCCAGTGTTTAACAAGCCTTGATGGGCCTGTCTTGTGCAAGGTTATCCAGTATTTCTAAGGCGGGAAAAATGTAAGTATATACAAAGGCATCCAGTAGCAGTGAGTTTCAGAGCTGAACTGGACATGCTACAAAACATTTCCTTCCATTTTAAGCCAGACACACCTCCTACAATCCCACTTGATTTTAAAAATCTCTGTTTACAACCCAATGCCTCTCTCTCAAGAGAGTCCCAGTGAACTCAAGCTTTCCTCCTGCAGAAGCCAGCCCTGCTCGAACTTTCCATATCTTCCTACCATTTTCTATTTCAATTCAGGCCGCACAGTTTTAGCGCCCTGCTCGAACTTTCCATATCTTCCTACCATTTCAATTCAGGCCGCACAGTTTTAGCACAGACACATTCAGTTAAGTACAATTTCTTCTTCTGACCACCTGGTGCCTCGCTGGCCCTGAGCTGTCTACCAGGAGAGGTCTTTACCATTTCCTGCTCAAGTTTCATTAACTACCATAAAAGAAAGGAGTGGGAAATAGCCATGCTTAAAAGGCAAAGATAAATCACCTCATTGCACCTATCTGCATGCCCAGCCACAGTGGAAGATCAAGGCTTGTCCCAGTGTGACCCAGGGTAGGCAGGATGACACAGTACCTCTGCTGCTTGCACAGGCACAGCAGCCCCAGCACTGCCAACATCCTTTGGCTAAGCACCTCTACAACTGCCCACACACAAGCGTGTGTTAGATGAAGGCTACTGGCACAAGCACGAACCACCAGCCTCCAAACAGAGCTGTTCTCCACTCCAGCTATTTGGGACATGCATGGGAAGCTTCACACTGTCAGCAGGACAATAATCCCTGAAATTTCTGCCCCCTGCCCCAAAGCAAGACCTACTACAACCCATGGGACAGTTTCAGGGAACAACACAGCCTAAAAGGCAGCCTGAGAAGTCATATCTAGTCTACCCTCTTTTCTACTAGCCCTGTCACTAAATACATTAGAATTATCAACAGAAGATACTAAGACCCACTGGACAAAACCAGCACCTTCTCCAAACTCCTGGTGTTTCACTGACCTAGTTCTTCTGTTTTAACTTCTAATGACACTACAGACAAGTTACCAGAGTTTCTAATACACTGATAAGCAACTCCCACCATGGATCAGCTGAAACTGATAACGCCTTCTCTATCTCATCAATACTCCATTGGTGTGATGACTGCAGACCCAGAGGAGACCCCCTCCACCAGCAGTGCAGCAGAACCATGCCAAAACACAACCGGACACTTGGAGTCACAGAATGGCAAGGATTGGAAGGGCTCTCTGGAGATCACCCAGCCCAACCCCCCTGCTCAAGCAGGTTCACCTACAGCAGGTTGCACAGGATATCATCCAGGCAGGGTTTGAATATCTCCAGAGAAGGAGACTCCACAGCCACCCTGGGAAGCCTGGGCCAGGGCTCGGTCACCCTCAAAGTCAAGAAATTCTTCCTCCCGTTCAAGTGGAACCTCTTCTGCTTCAGTTTGTGCCCATTGCCCCTTGTTCTGTTGCTGGACACCACTGAAAAGAGTCTGGCTCCGTCCTCGTGACATCCACCCTTCAGATATTTGTACATGTTGATGAGATCCCCTCTCAGCCTTCTCTTCCCCAGGCTAAACAAGCCCCGCTCCCTCAGCCTTTCCTCACAGGGGAGATGCTAGATGCTCCAGTCCCCTCATCATCTTGGTAGCCCTCCTCTGGACTCTCTCTAGGAGTTCCTCATCTTTCTTGAACCAGGGAGCCCAGAACTGACTCCTTGCACAAAAGGCTCTGCAAGAGAGCGGAGATGTTTCATGCAGGAAAACAGCTTTTCTCCTGCTTAACCTTTTGCTTTCCTCTAGGCAGCACTGCAGACCGTGGCATTAAAGCAAATTTTGTGGGCAAAACCAAAAAGAACAGATGAGAGTAAAGACAACGCAGGGAAGAAACATCCTGGGCAGAATGAGACCAATATATTCAAGAAAAGATAACGCAGCAGGCAAGAGATACAGGTATCTGCACAGAATCATGTTTTGTTATAAAGAACTCATCAAAATCAGAGAGACAGAAGCAGAACAAGATCAAAGTTAAAACAAGTTGAGGGCAAAACACCTGTTTTAAAGTCATTCAAACAGCTGCAAGAACAGGTCTATCAGATTACATGAGATGCTTAAGGTCTTCTGCACAACTTGACCTTTTATCCAGTGTAACAAGAAACTGGATTTCCACAGCCATTTGCAGCCTTCCTACCAAGTCATGCAGTGTGTAATCAGGGCAGGCATGGTCCGAGACCTTTCAGTTCATCTTTTCCACACCCCAGTTTTCAAAGTGAGACTGTTAAACAACAGCAGCGTTTTAAAGGCTGCAAGATACTCATGTGTCCTGCCCAGATTATTGCCTTTAAAAAGACAATGACAGAAGCTAAGAGACCATTAGTGACTACCGTGATACTTCCATAGAGACTAGACATTTCCATAAACTTGTAGGGCAGCGAAGGAAAAGCTTCAGTGAGGGACAAACTACCTAATATTGCCAGGTTCAAACAGTACCAAGGTCTTAACTTTCAAAACACCTCTTCTTCCATCTTTAATTTGCTGTAAACTTAATTAAGGTTGAGATTGCTCCATACAGCTAAGATTATGAGCTAAAAAAAGATTTATCCATTACAAACTGCTGCAAAATGAGGGCTTGGTAATGTCTTGCTCCATATCTGTAACCAGATACCAGAATTCAGTCATTTTTAGTGGCAGGCATATAAGAAAGAACTATTTCTTATAAAACACGAAAGGCTTAAAAGACAGACAACTTCAGCACAGTGACCCAGAAAATAACAGATATGAGCCACTGGGTTAGAAAAATGACATAGTATTACTGTCCAGATATAGAAAGGACAGAACAGGAAGGAATATAGCAGAGAGATGGGTCTTTAATCAGTATTTGCACATGCAGGAGATACCACAGACAGGCCAAAATTTAAAATGTTTGAATCTACCAAAGGCCTTCCCACATCAGCCTGCACCATTCAAAAAATCTCTAGGTGGCAAGCAAAATAATGCACACACAACCACCAAAAATGCAAGATTAAACACCACTCGACAGAGCACCTGCAACAAACCCAAGCTAACTATATCAAATAAATGAATGTCGATGTATCAGCTCTCTGACTTGAGAACAATCTTCTCAGAGATGCAAGTTAAAGCCGTGTTCTACTGAAGCACAAATTCACTTTTGTCCATGACATTATCTCCTTACTGCTTAAAGAAGGCCACTGGCTATGCAGTTTTCAAGCCAAACTAGAGCTTACGGGAACACAGACTAAGGAAAGGAAAAACAGGTAATTTTACTTCCACGTTTCAGATGCAAACTAGCACAACTGGTATCTCACCGAGGCTAGCAATTTCATTTTAGTACCGATTAAAACAAGAGCAGCACACAGGGAAGCAGAGGGTTGTGCAAAACTGCTAGGAGAAGATACTTGCATGAACACTGTGCTTATTTCAAGCTTTTCGCATCAGCTGAACCTGCTGTGGAAGCACACATACCCCATATCTTTTCATGTACTGACAGAGACATGCTGAGGCTGCTGCAGCCCTGTCTTTCCCTGCTGCATATTCTAGGCCCTCCCTTCCCCTAGTGTTGACATTCATTGGATCACACTGAGCTGGCTGGGGGGAGGGGGGCGGAAATCAATAAAAGATTAACCCCAGAAGTGAGATTTTTGGCCAGCTCAACTCCCTGAACCAGTTTGTGACAGGGTCAGAGGAAGGCCTACAGCCCCTGGGCTGGGATGGCAGGATCACAGCAGTCCAGAGCAAAGGCTGAGACCCCTCAGTGGGTCAGAACTAACAGGCAACTGCTGTCATACACATGCATGGCGTGCGTATGTTTTGCAGCAGGATCACATTTTAAAAAAAATCCAGGAACGCTTAACTCAAGGGGCAAGGGTAAATGATGGCTCTCTAATGGAGACAGCACCTATTCTGCAAAGGAAGGCTAAGGAGCTGTGCCAATGAAGCATGCACACCCTGGGAGCAGAAGCCTTTAACAATGTAGTGATACTATGCAGCTGGTCCCAGATCTCCAGATACAACCAAACCAGTTTCATTCAAGGAGCTGCAGAAAACGTAGCAGCTACAAGGCTGAGTGTAGAAAGCTGGTCTGAGAGCCCTCAAGTCTGGAAGAATGCCAACATTTCAAATGCTGGTTGTGAACAGCTGGTACTCACGTGATGAAGTCCAGAAAACTTGCTAGGGGCTCATATGCATGGTTCCTCATGTGACGGAACTCCACCACCATCTTCTCCTTCAGCTTGTCGTCTATGACAGAGACAGTAAGCGGGGAGGCTTCATTGGCCAGGAAGTTCCCATAGTCTGTGCTCTGGAGGTGCAGTTTCAAGTCTGAAAAAGAAAGGGTAATTCCACTCTACAGGGTTTGTGATGGGTTTGGTGTTTCTTTTGAGCATACCCAAGACAGCTGCTGCTCAGCACTTCCCCAGGCATTCTCTTCTCTGAAAGATCACCTAGACAAAACCCACTTGTTAAGTCATACACTTATATTTGTGCTCAATTTTATCACTGACAACCCAAACGCAGGGAAAAGATCAGTGTTTCACCATACCAACCCCACCCCATCTTAAAGAGGAAACTGTGACACTATCCATGTAATGGAGCACACATCTGTTCCAGCTGTCTGCCGTGCTTGATCAAGGTGGAAGGTTACTCATTTGCTAAGAAGTATTTGCTAGAAACCGGGCGGGGGTGGGGTGGAGAGCAGGGGCATAGAAACCACTTAAGCACTTCCTCTAGCCAAAAGGGCTCTGGTTGCAGGCTTCTCTGAAGCAATCACGACCAAGAAGCTATCTGCACCCACAAGCAAATTTCCTTGCATACTAGTGATGTGGAAGCATCTGAAAAGCTTTCCAAGCCAAAAAGACACTAACAGCAACCTTGAATTTATAAAGCAGCCAGGTATTACATCATCAAGTCAGTCCAACTAATTGCACTGGTAAAGAGAAGTCAGGCATTAAGAAGCAGAGAGGGGCTGGTGAAGAGGAAAGCCATTTAAACTCATCTCTTATGGTAGCCAACCCTTGCCCAGGACAGAGGAACATGCTCAGAAGCCTTCCCCTCCTCCAGTTTCAAGGAGAGGAAACCTTTGTTTCTTCTGTTACCCTTGCTGCAGGTCAGGTGCCCAACCAAGCTGCAGTCCTGGCCAACGAGCAACCACAACATGCTGAGCTCTGTCAAGATAAAAGCCCTGTTTGAGCCAAAAGCATTTAAGTGTCTCTGTGGAAAAACTGAATCCAGAACTGAGGAACGTCATATAATCCTACTCCTCAGAGCTCTACTAGTTGAACTGGTACATAATGTTCATCTTCCTACAGCTTCACCTCACAGGGCAAGTTAGGCAAGCACCCTCCTAGGGATTCAAGACCTTTATGGGGAGAGTAGCTGGAAGAGTTTAGTCAAACCAGATGTGAACACGCTGTCCAGCAAAAAAAACAAAACAAAAAGACATTTCTCCCTGGTTTCTTTGAAGCAGGAGCTCTGAGGCTGCCTTTCCCTTCCACTGAACCGTACGAGTCCTCAGCATTATGGCACAAGCATCCACAGGACTGCGGTCAGAGCAAGGACTCAGCCTAGCTTGAGGAGTCTGAGCATTTGACATTACACCCAGCTACAAGCATGAGCTGGAGAACATCCTCCACACTGGGCTCCAAACTGAGCTTGTACCATACAGTGCGATGCTGTCCTCAGCCTGAGGGGTGGGAGGGTCAAACGGCTTTCAAGCAGACTTTAACTCTTCTGGGTATTTCCAAGGGGATCTAGAAAAGATGTTTCTGACCCAGCACTTTTTGGTTATGAAGACATTACCACTGCTAAGTCTCACAAGAAACAGATGGTCTTTATAGAGGGGGGACAAAAAAAAAAAAAAAAAAAAAAAAAAAAGGCCAGAGACTTAAATAGTGCTCAGTTGCTGTCACATTTCTCAGCAGTTTACAGGACAGTTTGGCGGTAGTCTTACTTTTAGTAAGGAATCCTGGATGCAGCAAAGAGAGCTACTTGCCCAACAAGACACATAATAGCTGAAGCAAGGCAGAAACTTAACCTAGATCTCTGCTCCCCAGTCTATGCTGCAGCTAAACTGCTGTGTTTTATTCTACCAAAACATTATCAACTTATGCTCATGCTTTTGAGCTGGGAAAAGACATGGTCCAGATAACTCAAGACAGTGGAGTCTTGGAGTCAACATGACCCTTGTCGAAGTCAAACACTGGATCATGGCAAAACTCAGAATACCCTTTCCCTCCACGCAGCCTGCACAGCATTATTATTGACAATAGTCACTCCTAAACCCTGCAGAAAGCCCAGCTCACAGGCAGAACCCTGCATGCAAAGAGTTCTCAGCCATCTGTTTTGCAGTTGCTAAGATACAGTTACAGAGGGGACATCTACCGGAATTACATCTTAATGAGTTTCAGTCCCTCTTCTGAAAGCTCTTGGATGATGAGCTGTGGAGTCCAAGTGAAAATTAAGTTCCACTGTTAGATCAGTGTTGCACTAGCTTGCTTTTAGCAGAGGCTGAGGAAAGCATGGAGCAAAATTCAGCAGTTGCTCAATGAATAAGAGAAAGGGTCCCGGTAAGAGCATAGAACCCATAAAATCAGACTAAAAGGGAAGGCACAGGGGACTGCAATAGTGGCTTTCATATACCTCCTCCTTCGAGTTCTCTGTAATTGTGCGGAGCTCTAATGAAAACTAAGCCTGCCCAAAAAGACATGTGATGTTGTTTTGCAGCTATACAGGACCTTGGAGAGGAAGCCGCTATTGCATATCCTACCACATCCTACTTCAGCAGGGAAGCTTCCAAAGCTTTCAGCTCATTTCCTCAGCTCCAACTCTGCTGCAGCAAACCCCCATCAGTTCCTTTCGGTCTCACCACAAGCTGCAGCTCCGCACTTACTTTTGAGGCTGCAAGAAGCCGTCTTATCGGGTCACTTGATGCTAGAGACCCAGCAACACAAAAAGTAGTTTGCTGTACCATCCACTTCCAGGAGGTCAGAGCTGCGTTGCACTTAGACCACAGCGACACAAGCTGCACACTGCCTTGCAGCGTCTCCCTCAGCAGCTCTGAGCAGGCTCCCATGAGCCGCTTGGCCAGAGCATTTCGTCCTGCTCAATGAGAGGGTTGCCCCCCCAGCTCCACAGCACAAGAGCCAGCACAACATTATGTTGCAACTGGAATAAGGGCCATGTTTATATAACACTTGGAATTAATTTTTACAGGGAAGGCCAACCACAAACTGCAGGAACTAAACTCTTCTGAATCTCTTAGCATCCAAGCAGACAAAACAGAACATATTTTCCAAAAATTGGACTGGATTTATAAACCCTGACTCAATGCATCCCACAGCATATCAGTGCCTTATGCGAGCCTGTCCTCCTCCAGCTGCCGGGCTGCTCAACAGAGCCTCTGCCAAGGGGGTCTGAGAGTTTTTAATAGGAGTAGGCACATGTCAGGCTTCTCAGTTGAGAACGTGAGAATCTCAGTTGAAAAACTAATCTGGTGGCTTCACAAATCTCTTGCCAACTGTCCCCGTAACACGGTGACTAGTAAGTGGACCCACTGCTGAGCAAGCCCCACGCTCTCCAAAAGCTCAAGTTCCTATTTCCTAACGCAAGTTCAGACCAAGCTGGAGTCAGCCTGAACTTGCAGGAGTGGCTGCCAGAGATCCCACACGCTGCATGTCAACGAGATGCTGGCTGCAAGTCTTCTGCCATTCCTCTTCCCCAGCTTCCTGCCGAAAGGGAGAGAGACCTGCACCTAGAGCCCAGCCGCTCCCTCTGAGCTCCTCCAGATGCTGAGTAACAGCAGCGCACAGCCTCAACCCAGCAATTGCTTTTGAGAGGTACGGTTTGCCTGTTCCGGCATTTTGCCAAGCAGTTCATGCACTTTAAGAAATAGACTGAGCCAGAGTTTGGCGAGGGAGCGCTTGAATTACCACAACGCTTTTGTTCTCTCTCTTCCCCCACAAAAGCTGGTAAATTATGGCCAGGTCACAGTTCCCAGAAAGCTGCCTCGTGCAAGAACACAACAGCTTGTCAAAACAACAGCCTTTTTCTGCTGAGTATTGAAGTAGGGTAGCGCTCGAGATTACCACAAGTACTTACAGGAACCTCCTTTCAGCTCTCGCATCAGGCCCTCTGGCCCCAATGCAGCTGGCTGTACACAAGGCAACAGCACAACTGAAGCCGAATTCCACACACTGCTGTGCCAACGCCACACCTCGGCATTTCAGATGGCATTTTCTCGAGACACCTCAGATCCACGGTAATACTACTGTCCTCTCCTGCAAGTTTGCTTTGCCGTAACAAGGAATCAAGCCATTACTCAGTCTTTCAGACATCTGTCAGTCAAAGCCTGTCCTCTAAGCCCTACTCAAAGAGACCCACAGCCCCACCAGCTCGTATTTCTCATACTCCCACCCCTTCCTTCTTCAGTATCCTCCTGTAAGTCCATTGCAGAGCTCTGGATCAAGTTAAGGGCTCAAGCACTTCCAGGCAAGGACTGATTTGTCTTCCCATGCACAGGCATGAAATTGGCTTTTGCAACTTCTGAGCCAAAATGACGTTTTCACACAATTATCTGCCGTAACCCCAACACCTCACTCCAAAGCACCCAGGGACATGACTGCATATGTAAAAATTAAAATATAATTTGCCATCTCCCAGGCTTGAGGCAGTAAAGTAGCTGAGGGATTGCACAGCAGTCTGCAGATCAGCTACATCGCCCTTCAGAAGACTGCAGTCATTACTGTTTGGCTTGTCACTGCCCTCTTGGTCTGTTTATAGCCACCTCAGGCACTCCTGAAGCTGCTTCTCCAAAATCTCACCTGAGAAGCACCCAGACACCCTTTATTCCCTGCAGAATTTAAGACCTTTTCTGTGGTTAACACCACCTGCAGCAATGTGCCACCTCTCCTCTGCTGTCAGGCAGCAAATTCCTTTGGGCCACACCTGGACACAGAGAAGTATCTGCTATGGCCCTTTTCCTCATCAGTGTTTCACCTCCAGCTCTTCACTTCTCGGAGGTGTCCTCAGCACCAAACAGCAGCCTGCATTTCTAGCCCAGCCCTTCCTGGGGTTGACCTCACCCCCCTCAGACCTTCAAACCCAGCATAGCCAGGCCTCGTTTCCTTTACAGCCCCTCAACCAGGTAGCCCTCTCCTGATCCTTCCAAAACGTGAGGTAACCCCTCCTAAGCTGCCTGCATCCCCAGTTAGCTTCACCCCTATGTACCCTTCCCCCCCCCCGCCCCCAAAAGCAGACTGCACTAAGTCATGGCTGTAACCTCAGAGGTCTGGTACACCAACAGGACATCGGCCCGACACCTAGTG